ACAGAGAGACAGAGAGAGACAGAGACAGAGACACAGACAGTGAGAGTGAGAGTGACAGAGACAGACAGAGACACAGCAAAGACACAGACACAGAACGCAGACGCTGACGCAGAAGCAGACGCAGGCGCAGATGCAGACGCAGACACAGAAGCGCATCGACCGACGCAGACGCGACACACTTTCGCGCTCCGTTGCCTATCAGACACGACACAGACACGGACACAGACACACAAACACACAGACAGACCGCGGCGCACACAGGGACACCAGCTTTGTGCCAGGGTGTTGAGAGCTCCAAAGCCGCGGTTTGGGTTTCAGAATTTCGACATGTTTTTGTTTTACCCTGGCCCTAACACTGTTGGTCCGGACCTTGCGCGATGGGTTATGCTCGTCGATTTCTGTAGGATGATGAACTTTTAGTTGGAAAAGGGACCTGGAATGAAACCCCAATGTTTTCCAGCCCTGCCTTCAGATCATGCATCCGCAGCCGTTCACTTCCCCCGCATATCCCTCAACAACTACGAAACATCTGCCCATGAGGCAGTAAACGTGGAACTAAAATCGAACTAGCCTCGCGGGCGCAGCTCCCTGCGGCGACATTCCTTAAGCCCCAACGCTTGAAGCCAAATCCTGAGGCCACGTCTTTGGTGCTCTTGCCCGGGCACCAGAGCGCTAGGCTCCGAGAGCTCGAGCAGCTGGGCTTGTGGGGAAAACTTGATGCTTCTGCCGCGTCTAGAAGAGGAGTCTAGAGTTCTTAGTTTTGTTTTGAGAATGATTTGCGAGAACGTTTCACCGGCTTCATTATGTCGGTGTGAGGAGGAGTTGCGCAGTTTCCAGAAGTAAGACCTCGACATTCTGGAAGATGCTGCGACGTGAGTTAACAGAACTGATGGGTTTGTTTGACGATCTTAGCTTCCAGAATTGCGCATTGAACAGCAACTCAGTTTGCAATTATTGTGGTGCCAGGAGGGGACAGACGAATGGCCTGCCTTTTAGTCTCGTTGTCTCAAGCTTGGTAGTGGACCAAAGCCAGCTAGACCAGGTGACTCCTGGCTTGCCTGTTGTTATCATGCCAAGTTGCTCGACAGTGAATTCTCAAAATTTCGTGCCCTAGACCATTCAGGCCTAACTCTAACTGTAGCTGCCTTAACCTACAGCCATCCCGCCCTCAAAACTAGCAAGGAAGGACCTTGGGCGGCAATTTGAAGTGCTGCCGCCGCCTTCGGAGGCTTCGAGATCCTAGGGCGGACGTTCTCAAGCCTTGAGGCCTTTAGATGTTACGGCATTTGTTGGGATTGCTCCGTGATTCCACGGGTGGGAACCCCGGTGGGTTGAAAACCCTGTACCTTGTCGTGTTCCGTAGCACTAGACAACTCCACTCCTACTAAACCTTGAATTTTGGAGTCTATTCGTCATTTGTCATTTTAGTTCTGTATTTGCGGTTCCGGCGGGTCTGTCTGTGAGGCTGCGGTTGAGAATTCATTCTCTCAGGCGGCACTTCGCCGCAGCGCCGTTGCGGCTGTGGCGAAGGACACATCCGGTTGTACATGCATACTAATACTAGACTTGCAACCTTTCACGGTTTAGGTTTTGGGGTATCGCCAAAATCTGTGAGCCCTCCGCAGCCTGAGCTGAGCACCGAGGGCAACATGTTCTCCCCTTGCGGGACATCAGCGCAGTCATCTTGATGGCAGCTTGGGAGACGCCTTGAATCCCACACGGGCCAAAGCACTGCTCCCCAGTTTGAGCTAGGCCCAGGCTTCAAGAAGTTCCAAGCATGGGGAGGAGGTGCTCACAGGATGGAAGTAGCAGGGATCCTCAAGGCATTCAGCACTCCCAACACCTGAGCTCCAAGAGGAGCTGAAGATGGCTACGAAACAGCACCGACCTTAGCTGTTGGCAGAGGCGTGCATGTACGATTCGCCAGTTTCGAATCGGTTGAAGTCCCTCGGCAAAGCAGCACGGGAACGTTGAGTCTCGTTAACCCCAAACATTGGACCTCTCTGAAGGTCTGTACAAGTGAGGTTTTGGAAATCCCGGGTGTTGACAAGAATGCAGCTATAAGATTAAGCTTAAGTTTTCGGTCATATCTCGTCGCTCGTCTGAATGTTGGGGCTGCGCTGATTTTCGGACATACAAAATATGGTTAAATATGGGTCTTCAACAAGCACTCACGGGGCCTGTGACGACCTCCGGGATGAATTCAAGGACCGGGTGAAGGTCAAACTCCCCAAGACCCAGCATGAGCCTCTTGCACTTGATGTTAGGAGGTGTGGAGCTTGTGACTGAGAGTTTAGGGCGTGAGGCTTTGGACTTCAGGGCTTCAGCGAGGTTTGGATGCAATGCACGGCAGTCGATATCCCATCACCTTGCACCAAACGAATGTGTCTGCCTCGGTCGAACCGAGAAACAATGTTCAACCGGAGCAGGTATGACTCTGGAGCTTTCCTCGAAGATGCGAAGCAACAGTGCCTTGGCCTGCGCGTGCTCGAGGGCAACGCATGGAGAATCTCTATGGTGGTGCCTCGAGTTTGTGTCCAATTTCTCGGTCCTTGTAGTGGAGGTTCATGGTTTGCGGAAAAGCGGATCGATAGCTGGAAGGGTATAGCCCGGCATGCTCGGACAATCTCGGATACCCAAACCGAATTATTGTCGGATTTGGAACGGGGCGTTTTCTAAAGTCTAAAGGACGCGAGTCGTTTAGAAAGCAGGCTGCACAGATTCTTGTTTGAGCTTCAGATCGTTCAAGGGCTCAACGAGTGAGCAATATGAAGTACGTGCAGCCACCAAAGGCGTTTGATTACACTGCTAGAGTTTGCGGCAACACACGCTGACCTGACCCAAGCCAGCCGAGTCAAAATAAAACCGAAGACAACACGCGATTGCATAGCAACAGCAACAACAACGTCAACAACCGACCCACCCTGATGTGCCCAAAATGGTTGTCTGCTGCTGTGCCCAAAATGGTTCTTTGTCGGTGCGGGCTGGCCGCCGGCAGCGGCCTGATGTGCCCACGGTGGGGGTACTGAAGGACTCCACTGCAGGCCTGAGTCAGGCTCCAGGGTCTCGGGCTTGAACGTGAAACCGACGCCCGATGTGCCCTGAAGCCCTGAAACACCAAACCCTAGATTCAGCAACTCTCGGAATCGGGACCCGAAGCGCTAAAGCCTCGACTTCTCAAGCCCTCAACACTCCCGAAGCCCTCAGCGCCGACCTCCTCCACCTCAGCCTCGGAACCTTCAAGCTCACACCGCAAATTTGAAGACCCTAAAGTTTGCAGAGTGCCCAAGCCAGAGCACACGAAGGTTGGAAGTCCATGGACCACGGCTCCTGGCGGCGGCCTTGGTGCCTCGGCATACCAGGGTGTCATTGATAGAAATTCGGCTCCAGAGCATGAGGTGGCTGCACGTGTTGGGGGTCGGACCGCTGTTGAGAAACCCAGACCTCCACGAACCTGTGCATCCATGATCAACAAACATGGTTTTGCATCGTCTGTTGTCTTCAGTCTAGCTGATGCCAATGCTGGGTCCTTGGCATAAATGAGAGCCCACCTCCGTCGAATGTGCGAGGCCGCTATTGTCAGGCTTCACTCCTCGAAAGCCTCGCTGTTTGCACACCCCATCGTCAGTTCAATATTTGGCTGCAGGTTCTGCTTGAGCGGCGCCGGAGAGGGGAAGAGTGGCGTTCGCCATTCTCGGGTCGGCCCAGGCGACTCTTTGAGCTGACGGTCTGAGGGCTGGGGCTGTTGCGTGGATTTGAGGCTGAGCGCGCTCCTCCGGATCACAGTGCAGGTTCTAGAGATCATGCCGGCAAACGCCAGGTGAATGTTCTTGCCAGCAAAAAAATAGTGTAGGCCTCGAGCCCGAGAGGATGGAGCCTGCCTGTCGATCTTGAAATCTAAGATGACAGCAGTGGACACCACACAAAACATTGCAACCCTCGACCTTCCATCTTGTTGGCTGCGCGATAGGCCGGCAGGCCTTCAAGTATTCGTTGCGCGAGTGATGGAAGCAAGACATCGCGTTTTGATGCGTGAAACTTCCGTGCTCACTCGGATTGTAAATGATTTGTCTCTAAGGTCTCGTTCCTTCTGTGGACCGTTCGGCAGTCTGCGGAGAAGTGCTCGATTCCGAAAGCTCAACTTGGAGTGCGAGAGTCCAAACGTTTTCCAAGGCCTGCAACTGCAAATCCTGAACCTCAGACCTGAGACAGAAAAGGAACAGGCAAGGTTCTTAAATGCACGCTCCAAGCGAAATGTTCAGAAGGTTTGCGCCGCTCCTCTTGGTCGATCCGTAGCTTGTCAGCACTGGAAGAGGACCACTAAATTTGCGCACAGCATCGCGCCGCTGGTACTTTCAAGCCATCTACATGTCGCACACCGCGCATCAACACTGAACTGAGCTGGCAACAGCAGTGAGAGGAACGAGTGGTCTGCATGGTTGCGTTCAACTTCGGCCCGTGAAGCCCGGACTGAACCGTAGCCCCCTGCCCCTGCCCAGTTCCAGGTATCTGGAGCGCTTGGCTTCTCGACAAGCTGCTGCAAGCGCCCTGCGCCGCGTTTTGCGCCGCGCTGCCGAGGGCATCGACAAGGATCGGGTGAGGGGCAGTTTTGCCCCTGGCGTGTGGAGGCACTGGGGTGTTGAAGTGCAGGGCTCCTCACCTTCCACCAGTGGGCATGTTCCAGATGAGAAGGTCCGGTCTAGGGCTTTCGGGTTTGGGTCTCATGATCGAGCCAAGCAAGGGGTTGCTGGTCCTGAAGGCCTTCAGCGTGCAAAAATAAGTTTTTGCCTCCGGCTTAACCTTGCACATCATCTCTCTCGACACCGTTCACCTCCAAACCGCGAACCTTTCAGTCGAGCGAGGAGGGCCTCGATGCTCAGATCGGCCGCATCGAGCTGACCAAAAAAGGCACCGGCCCGACTGTCGATGGGCGTTTGAGTAGGGGTTTTGTGCCAGTCAATTTCATCGACTGCTGACATGCTTGGTCCGAGCAGCTGGTCGGCTGCGTCCCGAGAATCTCAGAGCTCATGCACAAAAGCCACTTCGAGCAGAGAGGCAACAAAGAGGGTTTCGACTTGCAGGCTGGCTCGTGGACGTTCCGAGGGCCCTGGTGCCTGCAGTCTTGGAGGACAAGAACTTGCAACTTTGTACAATTCATGCATCAGGTGTGCCAGTTGAGATATTTCATGAAGCCCCGATTTTCGGGTTTGTGCATTACACCTTGGGGCTTCTGTGCCGTGGGGAGCTGGTCAGATGTTGAGGCTTAAGCCTGCAACGGAATGAGGATCCAACCCCCTGATGTCTGAACCCCTCCGTGAAAAAGTACCCCTCGACCTGCAACCCCAAAGCATCGAAGATCGGCTCCCGAGGCAAAATCGTGGTGTTCAGGTGCAGCCGGTGAGTGAGCTGCCGGACCGAAGCGGTGCTTTTGGCTGGCTTTGGGGCTTCCGGCTGTTGTGTGGAGGTTGTTGCTACCGAAAAAGTGTGGAGTTTGGATCGACGTTTCGCTCTCCAGGTTTTGGCCTGATTGCAGTGAAATTCCCCGCTTTATGCCATCGTTTTAAGATTCCCATTTCAGGGCCCTGGAGCATCTCAGCACGTCGAGCAAAGTTGTTTTGGGTGGTCTGCATTTGGTCCCACCGAATGCACAACGTAAGCTTAAAATCACAAAATCCCCATCGCAATTAAAAGTCAACGTCTGACTCCGGGAGGACATCATCGACGATGGGCGTTTAACAGTCGCCACGCGGAAGACGCGGAGGACGGTGGAGCTGCAGCTTAGGATTCTTGGTTTCGTTGCGCAAGCCAGACTGAAAGGGCCCGGAGAGCATTCCAGGTCTTCTCCTCTCGATATAAGGTGATGAGGTGTGGATTCTCAGTCCTCTTCGAATTACTGGGCTTGTTATCACTTATGTGCTTGTGTTCTAGCTGTGCTAGTGGCTGTCAGCCCACCAACAAGGTATGGAGCACATGTCGGGAAGGTCCAGCGTCGTTCGCAGTCGTCTGAGTGGGCTTTTGGGAACTCGTTCCTAATTAAGCCAAAAACAGAAGTATCTGGCAGGGAGGTCGGTGGAAGGTTCAACCCCATTCCGGCCAATTGGCGAAATCGCCAAAGAACCCGCCTCGAGGCGCCCCGCTCGCGGGCCAAGGCGGCTGCCTTTGGCGGAGCGCCGCGCGCAGCGGCGCCAGGAGTCGCGACCTCATGCGACCTCGAGATCGAGAGCTGGGGGCTGTGGGAGTTGTGTTCACCGGTTTGAACATGGAACGGACGGTAGGAAGGGCTTATGAGGGGAGAGCACCTACGCTTGACTTTCGGACACTTGCGGGAGAGGACTCGGCGTCCGGCTGCTGGGCCCGACATTGAAGGCATCCGTAACGCGATGCCAGTGTCGACCTCAGGTTCCTTTACCCCTCCGGGCGGCGGCAACTCTTCGGCCGGGGCCCCGGCGCCAACCGAAGCCTCAAATTCCGACTCCTGCGTTGTGTCCTTGACCGCCCACCGACCCTTCGCTCTCCTCAAAGGCTGATGGCCGCAGGCCTACATCTCAAGTGCAAAACATGCGGAACTTTTCACCGGATCACCAAAAGCCTCCTTCACTTTGGTCAGTAGGGTGTGTTTTTTTTTTAATTGGAGGCATCTACCGAACCTTCCTCGGCCTGCTTCAAAATGAGGCTGGATTTACATCAGGGACCGGTCTAGCTATTTATGCTGGTAAACCATCCTTTTATCAAGGCTCTTTCCGGGAAGCGCGAGCAACCCCCCATGCCAGAACCGAAACCTCCTTTGAAACGCACGTGTCCTTTGCATTTCCTTGTGGTTGTTGCTGCTAGCACCATCATCATAGAGGCAGCCCAGGAAGAGTACAGTGTCCCGAATCTCAGGGAGTACAAAACAGCGAACAGGACGCTGTGTTACACAAGCGCGGTACCACGACGTGGCACCCCTCCAGTTTTTTGGAGCTGACCGGACACGGACAAGCCTTCGTACTGGATGCACATTATGATATCGCGCGAAACCACCTGAGTGGTGACGGCAATCGCCAGGAGTCCCGTGCCTTCGCGCCAGTCGATTCCGAGCCGAGGTGTTCATTTTGGGTGATCTCACCAGACCGCACCACCGCTGGGCAACTCCAAACCGAAAACTTCCTAGCTGACGTTCAAGAACTCTAACCACATCGTGTGCGTAGTCGAGGTTGATGGCCTCAGAGAGGAATCTACGTTGAATCCCGAACCTAAGACTCCCAAACGTTTCGCACAGTTGCTCACACCGTTCCTGGCAAGGTCAGTGGTTGCTGGCCGGCAAGAAGGCTGCCACCTCTCCGGAGCAAAGTGCAAAAGGACGTCTACATTGGCTTATTCCCACCAAAGCCTGGGAAGCCGGCCCCATCAAGTATAAGCAAGTCGTTGTTGATGCATATGATTCGTTTCAGAAGCTCTCATGTAGTTACATTCAGTTAGTATACCCCGGCACTTGTACCTGTACGTAGCATTCTGAATCCTCCAGTTTCTTTTTAGGGTTTAGTTCGTCGGATCGCGGGCATATTTTCTCGTGTTCAGCGTTGAGGCCTCGGCCCTTCGAAAGTCAAAGGGAGCCCCTCCCCCCACACGAGCAAGAGGATATCGGTTAAGGGGGTTTGCGAGCGGAGGAGTAGTAAGACTCTGATCGGATGGAGGTTGAGATTCGCTGCCCGCCTCTGATCCGCGAACCCAAACCAAAACCCTTGCAGTCGGATCCGATTTCATACTGCTTTCCTCCTATGAGCCTTCACTGAACATAGCTGCACATCTTGTTGGGAAAAACGCGAAAGCTAAGGCCCGAATGCTACTCGTAAGAATTCCTAAAGTCCCTAAAGCCGAAGCCTCCAAAGCCTACTTCGTGTCGGCCACTGATCTCTCTCGCTGGCACCCGCTGCCGGGCCCGAGCTTTGACACGGTGGCGCCGCCACAGTGCCCGTCATGGCAGCTTGGTGCATGTAGGGCCGTGGGGCAGGTTGTGCGGGAGTTCCGGTTGAGGGCATTCGAATCGAGTTCAGTGAGGCTTCCGCGAGTTGAGGTATAGTCGATGCTTAGGGATTGAGAGGTGGATTTGTGGTTGTAGCATTGCAGGCAGAACTCGGGATCGAGCCTTGTGATCTTTAATTCCTATGTCTCAAACACCTACGCAACGATTTACCAAACAAAGTCTCCGTGCAAACCCACCTCTGGCCCTTTGATGTAGTAGCTAACCTGAGCTTCCCTCAGCTCGCAGCCCCCACCCCGCACACGAAGGCAGAGGGCCCGAACTGAGTGGCCGAGGAGAAGCAGTGCCCTAGGCCCGACATGGGTTTTTTGGGGAGGATGGGTGCCGTGACCGCTTGTGCACGAGATTGCCTAACAGTGGCATGGCTCCTACAGTTGAAGCATGCTTCATGTCTTGAAGGCTTTGGGACAATTAGCTCCAAATCCGCATCCTGCCCCCTACCTTGCGACAATTGTAAATCCATCCGGAGGATCAGCGGAAAGAAAAGCTCCCCTATCTCCAATTCGAAACCCTCAGCCCAACCAATTCTTCAATCCCGAACCTTCAAGTCCTCTGTACAGAAGGAATTCTCTACAAGAACTCCGCACGAGAGACCCCGGACAATATACCGCGAGCTTCTCAAAACAGACAAACCAGTGAGTTACCACCTTCCCGTCCCCAGTCAAAAGTTATATGCAGCAACGCACATGCATATTGAGATCATAAAACGCTGGCGCCCGCACAGAGACAGGCCTGGCAACTCGGTATCCGCGCTGCCCTCAGACCTTCCCGCTGCAGCGTTCGGGACCTTGGATTTCCCGACTTGGATTGAGAGTTGAGGGTTTGCAGATATTAGCTTGTGCGGTGCCTGACCACTGAGCACAAAGACTCACATCATGGAATCAGTTCCCAGTCCGCATGTTTTCACCTGGAGGAGAAGTGGGAGGCACTAGCTGTGATGGCCACGAATGGCGACGAGGATAGCGCCAAGTGGCTCTACGTGAGGACTGGAGGGCCAAGTCTCAATTGTCCACTCAAGCCTTTCAGCCTGCATCCCAACCATAAGGCCAGACACACAGGAGTCTGAAACCGCAAGAATCCGAGAGCCGAAAAAGGCCCTATTGACTTCGCGCTTGGAATCCGACTAGAAGCTCGACCTTCTCAGTGCGAGGAACTTGCCCGAGGATGCGAAAAGCCCGGGCCCCACACCTTGGCTGGCCATGGGCCTTGATGGCCTTGTGGTGCTCATCGCAGTTTACATTCTCTGCAAGCATGCAAACAATGCACAACACATAATTTTGGCATTGCCTGTGGTCCTTCGACATGCAAGCTGTTGTTTAGTAAATTTAGTTAATTTAGTTTCATGCAGGAAACAGCCCAAGTAGATCTCTCACTAAATATGTAGCGTTTGTTACTGTCGCATGGTCATAGTTCAGCATTGTTTGCTTTGGCACCTGGGTTTTGTAGGACATTTAGGCAATCTGTGTGCAGACCGGGCCTGAAAGCAGACTTACCTCTATAAATTTTCAAGAATCCCGCAGCTGTCAAGCCTTGCCTTTACTACCTCGGAGATGCTGCCCATTGCCCACAGATTCGCAGACGTTTTCGTTTGTCAGATTGCTGTGTAGCAAATGGAATCCATACGGCTCGTAATCAGATGTTTTGATGGCCTGCAGCAGATGTTGAAGGCGAGAGCTTTGTTTCTCAGTCGACAAGGCCTTTGCTCAGAACCTGACTAGTCACTAGTGTTTTTGTTTGCAGCTTGTCGAGTTGTGTTATTCTATAGTAGAACAGTCTTTGGTCTTGCGGTGAAGCAGTTGCAGTTTTCTATGCCGGAAGAAAGGCCAGGTCACCTCCAAGCTCGTTCCTGCGTCCTGAGGCTATATATGGTTTAAGCAATTCCACCTCCATGGCGACGTTGTGCGAGCTTCCTTCTTCGGATGGAAGAAGGGGCAAGAACGCCCTAGCCCCGGCGGGGTTATTACCAAGGGAGGGATTTTTGGGGCTCGGGCAAACTCTGCGTTACTGGAAGGGTAGTTGTCAAGCTTGCCGTTCTCAGTTTCATAGGACACATAGGCAGACGTTCCTCAGGAGGGGTTTTCGGGGCTCGGGCAAGCCGACGAATGCATTGGTTACACGCTGGGCTAAGGCTTTGCTGTAGGTCACGGCTTTGAGACCTCAAGACAGCGCTGTGGCCCCAAGGCAACCTGAAACCATCGAACCCTGAATACCAAGCCACTAAAGCCCGTCATCAGTCCGAAAGACAAGGCCTACAGCACAGCTAGCAGCTAGCATCCCGAAAGACCCAGAGTTGTAAGCGGTTTCTTGAACGTAGCATGGTAAGTATCACCTTCATCCCGAACCACGACACCAGTGTTCGGAGGTTTACGCTGTTGGTTTTCTTTGGTAGCGGAGCGTTGCAGCCTGATCCCCGAATTCATTCGCGCCAGACCAAGGTGAAGTGCCCGCCCAATGAATCTTTAACCCTGAAGCTGGAAGCTTAAACATCCCTCAACCCTGCACAGGATGGTGTTTGGCAGAGCACTGCTCCCAGCTGTAAGGTTCGTGAAGATGGGCAGTTTCAAGGCTAATGCGCCGATTGGCGAAGGGGTGTTGCGGGACTTTAGGATCCTCCGTCAAGGTTTTCTTCAGTTAAAGTGAATGCTGACTTGGTCCAACCTCTGGAAAGCCCCAAGGCCCAAGCTAAAAGTTACAAAAGGGAAAGCCCTGACTGCTGAGCCTATGCTCCCAAATGCCCTCTTCCTGGAGTTTTGCCTAGAGGACCCCTAGGTGACTCAGATTTCATAAGGTTGCGCTCAAGAGGGATCCATCAATATTTATCATCTGCGGGTGCATGCCGGGCCGAAACTATTCCAGCAAGGGTGGGGGAGAGCACTCGTGCAGTTGGATTCGGAAGGCACCTGATGAAACTTTCTTCGCAACTCTGCAGCCGACAAATGCCCGTGTATTGGAATGAAGAACTGAGGCAGTGTTGACTGTCGAGCAGAGTGAGTATCGCGATAACGGCACAGTCGCCCAAGACAAGCTTCAGATTTTGCTTTGTGGTTGAGTCTAGGTGTGGCACCAAGTGGGAGGCCATCTCTCTCAAGAAGGACTTGGTTGACTGCTTGGAACCCTATGTCCATTTACTCCCAGGCCATTTCTACTTCCCAATTTGGGGATTCATAGTTCCAGTCCCGGAGCTGGGGCTTGCTGTAGGTGTTTGTTGATTTTTTTCAGGCCAGCAGCAGGATGAGGGGGTCTTGGATTTCATCAGCCTTGACACAAACATGCATCGGCGGTGAGGAGCTTGACGGCAAAGACCTTGGTGGCGACAACCCCCTGTCGGTGCAGAACCCAGTCGGGAGGCATCTGTCCCAAGCATGAACTTTGTGTTTCGGGGCTTTTGGGGTTTGGCGGGTTCCGGACTGAGGGGTCTTTCGGGGTTCAGGGCCTGTCCCTGAGATTCCAGAGTAAGAGAATCTTGTTCGTGGTCATCCGTGGTCTGGTTTCAAAAAGACCAGCCCGACCAGTCCCACCCTCAGAATAGTAGCACAAAGCCCAATGTTGCTCACTCTCCTCAAGTTTCCACTGGAGATGAGAAGACAACAGCTCGAAATTGGGCTCCTTCAATGTGGTTGACTGTGATGAGGGTCTGGCGATTCGATACAAGCAGCAGACGCATCCCAGTCTCGCTTGGAAGTAGTACTTAAGGTTTCGCCTGGGTTCGAAATTACTTTCCTCAACGAGGCTCCATGATTTCTCCGCTGTTATGGGCTGTGGTCTGGTTGTCGCTCCTCAAATCGGACAGCAACAAACACGATGAACGCAAACATTGGTCGAGCATGTGAGAGCCGGTCGAGCCATTTCGCCCAAGCAGGCGTTGGGGAGCAAGTTTCCCATCCGTTTCGGTTCGAGATTCAGGATTAGGACCTACTGCGGTTGCAAGGAGAGTGTCAGGGATGAGGGGGGCATTCCGGGTGCTCGGCTCAGGGTGTAAGTGTAGAGTCCTTTGCTTGGACCGCCTTCTATGTCGGATGTCGAGACAGACTCCGTCGAGCAAGCGGTGGCAGATCTCTTCCTGGCCTCCACGGTCGGTCGTTCAAATCCCTCCGATCCATATGACTGTGGCGGCCTGCCTGAGTGCAGCTGTTGTTTTCAGAATCGCCACAGCCCGCATCCATTGCAATTAAATCCCAGCAGGAAGTTTGAGATGTGGCGTTTGGCTTGCCTCAACGAATACGCATTAAGCTTAGAAGCTCGCAATGACAGCGGAAGTAAGAGAACTGGAGCCGGGAGGTTTGTTTTGCATCACGCAGTCACACGCCCTAAGCCATGTTCCCTTCCTCATGTGACTACGTGCCGGTTTGGTGAAGGCTCGGGGAGGGAAGGGTAGGCCGTCTCCTTTCGTTTGAGTTTCAGGGTCTGGCGGTTGAGAAATGTCGTTTATTTCCTTGGCAAGCATGGTTCAATTAAGTCTTCAGTGTCGCGAGTTGATCCTCCAAGTCCTATCACGGCCCCAAAACGTTTGAGGTTTCCAGTTGGAGACCTTTCGGGCAATTCACCCCGGTGTCATTCGCGCAGTCCCGGCCTACAAGGCGGCTTGGGATACTTGCAGGGATCTCCAGCAGCGCTTTGCCGTAGTTCATGGCTTGTATGACTTTGCTGCCGTTGGAGGTGCTCGTCGGCCGTGGGCGAGCGCTCAGAGGGCGACCAGATGGCTTGCACAAGGCCAGCTTCGAGACAGAGACGATTGAGGAGCATTTCCTACGCTTTGGGGTGAAATTAATTTTTTGTCCGGTGGAAGACCAGCGGGCATTGATTTCAGCATTCAGGACGACAAAGTTGCGGGTCAGGCATCTTGGGGCTGGAGTGTGGGCATTAGCGCTTTTCACGTGGCGCGATTCAGGAGTTCTGGTCTCACAGCTGGCATGCGCCAGCTTGGATGAAGATTGTTACTCTGACGTTCGTCAACAACTGCCGCACAGCAGCCTCGTTGGGTATGCTCGCGGCAATCACTGGGTTCGCCCTGAGCGTGGCAGAGGTGGCTCAGCGACAAAACGAGAATAGCAGTAGTTCACGCAATAGGCCAGTAGCTAATAGCTAGGAGCTCGTAGCTGCATAGCTAGTAGCGAGCAGCTCTTCAGTAGAGGAGCTAGCAGGTACGTGCAGTTGTAGTGGGGGCCAGTAGCTCGTAGCCAGTAGCTTGTAGCTCGTAGATGGTAGATAATAGATAGTAGCTAGTAGCCAGCACCCTGTAGCACCTAGTAGCTAAAGGCTTGCATCTAGTAGCCAGTAGCAAGTAGCTAGTACTCAGGTAGTGGGTGATAGGTAGCAAGTGGAAAGTCTCAGGTGGTATGTATCGAACTGCTGCTGTTGAAAGATTGAAGCCCCAAACGTTGTGGCCGACCACTGCTCGTGGGACATGTCAGTCGCAACCCTGATGTCTCTACAGATTGCTGATGGCCTGCTTGCGCACATGTGGTATATGTTTAGGTTCATAGAGCTCATGTTCGCTGGGGACTGCCAATACTTGGCCAGGCATTGCCACTGACACTCGCACCCCGGGTTCGTTGTCCATGGTGTGCGCTGCTCGGGGCATTGGTCTATACCACATGTCTCCTCTTCTGGCGGCGGTCGAGCAAGGTATTCCTGGACATAATTTGCTTCTTGGCACTGAAGTAGCCAGTGGTCTCCGAACGGAGCAGTACAGGGCTTCGGCCTGAACCTGGCATCCAACAATATCCAACAATTGTCGATCTAGGGCTAACGGCTAGAGATCAAACGGCGACGGAGCTGCAAGAAGCGATCTCCATGTTCTTTCTGAGAACAACCCTGAGACTTCAACCTAAGAGCTTCATGAAACTCAGGATGTTGAGGGTATCGTTGCCCCCAAGTGGGTTTAGCACAGAGACGGCAGGCGAAATAAATGTTTGGCATGGAGTCTCATCCAACAGTGAGCGAGCATGACACAGACCTTGTGACGCAGATGCCTCATTTTCTACCCGCCACCGACACTGCCATCCTTGCAGCGGCAGCAGCAGCAGCAGCGGCGGCCCTGCCACGCACGGCCAAGAGCAACAATAATCGCAAGAGTGACAACACGATCCAAGGACGCACCCAGAAGCTTTGCCTGAATCCGGGTCCAGAGTCCAATGGGTTTCAGGGTTTCGGTTGTCTGAGGTATAGATCAAGATGATGTGAGTTTCAAGAAGGCTGCACTGACGAGCATGGCGGCAATCCTGTCTCTTTGGCGAATATTTGGAGAGGGGATGGTTTAAGGTTTAGGCACGCTGACTCTGTCTCTGTGTGTGTGTGTGTGGTCGCATCGGTTTGTGCCTGTTTGTCTGCGTGTGTGCGTTTGTCGGTGCTTTGGGGTTTCGGGTTTAGGTTTGTATGGATTGGATGATTGTCAGGATGCGGATGATGATGATGATGGTGGTGCTAGCCGCCAGCCATGACAGTGTAATGCAGCACTGAGACTACGTGCTAGATGCACGCACCAGTTGGTATTCGCGGTGTTCTCCAATGTGCTGCTCCTTGAGGAAACAATCGGAGGCATTGCTCGTCGTGTGGGATGCAACGTGGAACGCCAGATTGTGCCCAGGCTTGCGAAAGTTATCCTTGGATGCAGTTTCGGTTCGTTTAGTTTGGTTGTTGCCGAATAGTGCAGTGAAGGGGCTTTCGAAGGTCGGATGTCCATAAGAGTTCATGGGGCTTGCCATGCACACAGACCACAACCACAACCACAACAACAACAGCAGCAACAGCAGCAACAACGACCACGACAACGACACCCAAGGTGGTGCGTTTTCGAGCTTGCAGCCTTCCTGCAATCTCGTCGCACTGGGTCAGCAGCCCGGGCGACTTGGAAGGCGTTCAGGTTGCTATGCTGGACACTAGTCGGTCACTAGTCTGGTTTGAGTCGGGCTGGGCTTCTTCCCCTTGAGGCTAAGCTCTGCGTGCGTCCAGTCATCCTGGGGCCCGTGCTGCTGTCGGGTAGCTGCGGCCTTTTAGTAGCCAGCCTTACTTTGTCCACGAACGTCGTGCAGAGCTACACTGACTTTGGAGCGGGCGTTGCATTTACCATGGGGCTCGCATTTTGCTGCTTGCTTTTCGCAGCACACCTGGGCCGCATCTTCTGTCGCAACCTGGACATGCTCCAACGGCAGCTATTGCAGTTCAGTATTGAGGATGCCAAATGCGCCTGCTGTGAGACGGACGATTGCAAACGGGTCGATCCCAAGACGGGCCAGCAGTTTGCGTGCGACCGAGAGGTTCTCCTGCAAGTCATTGCGGCTTGGTTTGGCAGCATCTCCAAGTTTGAGGCTTTGATCCATGGCGAAGTGAGAAGAGTTCTGTTCTGTGAACTTACCAGCGTACGCTTCATTTACGGGTATGTGTGTGCCGCCAGCATCTGCATACTGTGGTTTCATATGGATCAAGCTATGGGTGCCATCCATGCTGGAAGGATGTCAGCGAGTGAGGGGCGAGTAATGGCGTTCCGCTGGTTGGTTTGGTGGTTGGTCCTCGAACCTCTCCTCTTCATCGTCTTCGCTGGCTTTGCCTGGGCACTGCGCAAGCGCTGCAGCAGATACCTGGTTGTAGATCTTCTTGTAACGGCGCTGACCATGATTCCATCAGCTGGAATTTTTTTGGGCTGCTGGGCTGTGCTTAAGCAACTAGTGACTGGCGTGTGAACGCTACTTACTCCAGATAGCCCTTTCCCACTTCAGCACCACAGGGAGTGGTAGGAGAAGGAGTACGATGCATTGCATCAATGACAGCAGTTTCCAGAGCTGGCACCGGTGTAGTACATTTATTTGTATGTGTTGTTTTTGGGTGTGTATTCTTTAGAGCAGGCAGAATCCTGTTTTTCTTGGTACTATGCTGCCCAAGTCTCAATTTTTTTGACAAATCCAAGGCTTGAGCGTACTCGAGCAACGCCTGGATAGCGCACGCTCTGTCACAGGTGGACTCATCTTCGCTGCTGTTGTGGGGACCAGCTCTGTTTGCGCCTGGCTTGCTGTTTGCAAGTTCCTTCCTCGGGGCCTGCCAAAGTTCTCTTGAGTAAGGTTTACATGCGAGCCGTATGGCCCAGGACGGTGGTAATCGTTCAATTTGACGGTGATGTACACTTCCCTTGCTCGTTTCGTTGCGGCAACATCTCTGCGCCTCATGCCAAAATCAGCCTTGTTGGCAGACCATGACTTGTCTTAGTTTAGTGTTTACATCTTGCAAAGCCCGCAGTTACCTGGTTTTTGTATGTATGAAGCGAAAGCCAAACCTGAAGCCCGGTCACTTCGACTGTAGGCCATAGTCCTGTACACCCCAATCCGTTAGATGTCCTCCGAAACTCCAAAATCCCCAATGCGAGTGGAACAAGGGGTTCCAGGAAGCATGGTCCAGGATTTCTCGTTGTTTTGGGATGTGATATCCTGACTGCTTTTCTCAAGGCCAGACCAGGAAATCGTGAGCCGCAAGACATGCGAAGGCGTAACCCAGGTAAACCCTACAAAACCTGTATCACTCAGCCCCTGAGACCCCTCCTGCCAAGATGTGCTCGCCGGCTCAGGTCCTGAACACTTCCGAATTTTGATACGTTTTGTAGAGCCTAAACCTAGCCAGCTCTTCGAAGAGCATGGAATGCTCCACCGTAGCCCTCGGGGTCGGCGGAGGCTTCGGCAAAAGTTCGAAAGGACTCCTCTGAGAGGAACTGAAGCAGGACGTCGACGACGACGAGGATGATGGTGGTGGTAGTGGTGATGATGATGGATCATGGATGGTGAATGGTGGGTGATAAGCTTTGAATGGTGATTACGATCTTTCCAGGTACACGGGATTTTTCTTCGCAGTATTGCGCTTGCTACCCAGTCCGTGGGCATGGATGCTTATGTTGAACCGTGTCCGCTTCCCGCCGTCCTGAGGGAATCATTCTCTAAAGTTTGGGCTCGAACAGATGACCACGCGTTTGACAAAAGTCGTGGACCTGACCACACCGGATGAAGCCTCACATCCGGTTAGCCCTAAACAAAAAACCCTAAACCCTAATGTACTAACCCGCTTCGAATGCAAGGAGCTCCGGGCCCTCAAAGCCCTCAGTTAGCCCAAAGGTCAAGACCGTCACAAACAAGGAGAAGGACGAGCTCGTCGCCAAGCAGGCGCTCAGCGGAAACAACAGCAGTCTGTTTTCCTTGACCTTGTCGGGCTCTGCCAAGAAGCTTTGATGGCTTACAAAAGCCAAAGCAACCTGGGTTCATTCTCATTGACTGGGGGCGTTACAGAGCTTTGCGGTCTGCCTCACCAGGCCAGACGAATCTTCATTCAATGCGTTTTTTGTGCACGAGGGGGGGGGAGTTTACTGGTTGTGGGTGGTGTTTCAGAGGTTAAAGCATCATTGAGTGTCCTTGGGCTGTTGGCTTCTTTTCATGGCTTTGTAGATGGGGAGGTTTCTGAACTGCAGAAACCCGGATAGTCCCGTTTGGTTTGATCATCTGCAAAACGTGTGGAACCACTAACTTGCAGGAGAGCGGAAGCAGCCCACAAAACCGTACAACCTAGTAGATCCCAGCAGCATCCTTCTGCATCTGTGCGATGCTTTAACAGTTCCTCGCAACGATTCGTCCGCCCTAAGACTTGAAAGTTTGGGGTGAGCTCACGCGATGTGCCGTAGGGCTGAAAGCAGCCGCTCGTACAATGCAGGATTGCTAGGAGTTAGTATCTAAGTTGTGTGGTGCATTTTCGAAGCCTGTGGGCTCGTTTATAAAATGGGATGTTGGAATTGGCGTGGCATAGTTTTGAATCTGGGCGCGACTTTGAGTCCCTGTCCCAAGCTCTGCCTGAGTGCTGAAACACCAAAACAAGTGGATGCAGCCTTCATCGTATCTCCCCACATGCGATGCACTTTACCCGGCAACATATAGGGCCTGCAAACCGAGTCCCAAATTTTTGAAGCTCTTGAACACGTCCTTAGTTCGCTTCGAGCGTGCAGGGCGACAAGGGCGATGCTGGCTCGGAAGACACGTCAAAAGACAAGAAGGACCAGACGAGAGCTTAAGGTTTTAGTTAGGGACTCGTGGCTCTAGGAATGTTTCAACTCCAAGTGCCTAGGGCAATGGGCCGCTTGGGGTTCGGTTTTTTCTCATCTCATTCCCAAGTCTTGGTGCGCTCCGGCATTAGATCTCCTCTGAACCTCGGCTTATAGGTAGTCGGCTCAAACTCCGCGGCGTAATTCTTCAACGCGAGATGTTTCACTCTTGAATTCGATGCCGGACCTACCTACTGTAAATAAGATCCCGGGGCCATACACCAGGCGGCAGAACTCCTGGATCTTCCAGGCTGCCGCTTGAAATCCGAAGTCCTATCCTCTTCAAGTCCGCTCACAGGATTGTAAGTGCCTAGAGTTCTCGACTCAAGGCCACATCGAAATGCAGAAAAGGAGTCCAATCTCTTTTTCGTTTTGGTGTGCTTGTTTCGCATCTTGTTCCCTGAATCAACCCTGCACCAGGTGAGTCCCGATGTCTGAAACTCTGACGTGCACAGGAGAAGGCTGACAAGGACAAGCGAAGCCGTGGCTCGATCCAATCACTACCACTATCAGTGACTATCAGGGCTTAGGGGCTCCCGTAGCCTCCTGATTTGGAGAGATGAAGCCCTTAAGGCTGCATGGCCAGGCGCTCGCGATTGGGGGAGTGCGGTCAGGGGCATTGAAGTCTTATAGCCTGGCAAGGTACGGTAAAGCACAGGGGCGGCATGTAATAATCAAGGAGGAACCTCGCCCCTTTCGGGTTTACCATCGCCTGCCAAGGAAGCGGCAGCAAGAAGTCCAAGCGCAGCCAAAGCGGCAGCAAGCGAAAAAGAAGCAGCAGCAAGCGCAAGCGCAGTCGTAGCGGCAGCAAAAGGCAGCTTGGTTGCATCTGAGGAAACCTTCGCAGCGTCGTTTGGCCTCCTCTCAACCGCTACAAGGCTACAAGCATGTCTTTTGCGACTGTCGCTTAGCCCCAAGACACCGGACACCTCCCGCGCCCTGACCCTCGACGACACTTTAGTAGCTATGGCCCCTCAGACCTTTATGGGCCAGGCTCTCAGCAAACTATCTATCCACCAACAAAATGCACCCGAGACTCTGGACCTGTTTTCTATCTCAAAGGAAGCGCAGCCGCAGTGGCAGCCGGCGCAAGCGCAGCCGGAGTCGCTCCAAGCGAAAGCGCAGCCGAAGCTCCGCGACAGCGATCGAGGGGTAGGTCTCAGGGTCTGGCCTTCCAAGCCTCTGATGCCCTGCAGCTTCCTGAGTAAAGCACAAGGTGTTTGTTGTATTGCCGTGCTTGAGCTTTGTGGAGGGAAGGCTTCACTAAATCACTGGCTGCCAATCTGCACTGCATCGTCTTGATGGCCCATGTCTTTCCACTTCAATCATCCCTCGACAACAGAAGCCACTTTGTGACGAAAGGATACGAAAGGCCTGCAGTGCCCAAGCCCAAGCCCAAGCCCCCTGTTCTTTCGACCCAATCACCTCGAGCACCGTCTTGGTACTGAGCTCTCGACATGCTCCGACCGAGGTCGAAGTGGACGCAGAAGGAGAGGGTGCGGCGTGTGGGTGATTTTCGCATTAGAAGGTCGACCAAGTCGAAGTGTTCGACTTCACGTCCGAATCACTTCAACTTCACGGAGTTCGCACTCAGGGCGAGGTTTGGACGAAGGAATTGAGTGCTGCCCCTTTCGAACTCCAGCAGCGGGTCTGGCCTTGTCGACTGAGTCCGGAGCCCGAAGCTTGCAATCTTAATCCTTGGGTTCCAGTCCTCGTGCAGGGTCAACAACACATACTCGAGCAGAAGATCAACCAACAACAACGTAGAACGCACTAAACGACTGCTGCTCATCATCAAGCTTGGCGAATCTTGGCGACAAACAGCTGTGGTGTACCCATGGCTTGAAATTTGAAATTACGATTCGCCGCGTGGTTTGCGCAGGAGTAGGAAGAGATCGCGAAGCAGAAGAAAGGACAGTAGCAGCCGGGCTCCCTGTACTCTCAGGGTCACAGGGTCGACCGACTCGCTGATTCAGGGTCCGGCGGGTATCTTGTTGCATGCAAGTTAGGTCTTCTGCGGGGGAGGGGGGGGGGGGCGGAGGGCAGCAAAGCTGCAGTTTTCAGCGGTCTTGTTGCTTTCGCTACACTTCTGTTCGATGTACCAGTGCACCAGCTGCATTTTTCTGAATATTCACCGCTCTATCTGCCACCCGATGCATCTAGCAATCCTTCTGCGTAGGAAAGGACAAACTGCCCTTGCTCCTCAGTTTGAGGCTTGGGATGATGGCGATGACAATGGTGATGGTGGTGATAGTATGTTGATGAGAAAAACGAGTAAATAATAACAACGAGAAGCAATCCTGATGAGCTTCCAGATCAGGCCTTCTGCTTCCATTGTAACACCACCGTAACGTGAAAGGCTTCGGTTTCGCAGATTCGTGGAGCATTTCTGTTATTGAGCAATATCTTGGCAATCGCCTATCATCTCGCATAATTTCCGTAGATTCTTTTAGGTCTTGTGTTGGCCAAACAGTTTTTGTTCGGCTTTGTAGCTTTGAGGATGTTTTCGGAGAGGTCATCGGCCTCGAAGCAAAAACGCATCCTCGAAGGGTCCGAGTCGCAAGAGCAAAGCTTTGTTTGCAGGTCTATCCCCAATCCCCCGACAAACCGTCCTTTCGGTTTACCATGAGGCCGCGGGCGTAGGAAGCGCAGCCGAAGCCGGCGGCGGCGGCGCAGCGTGGCACCCAGAAGTGTGAGATTTGAGGTAGTTCTTGAAGGCATGCTTACTTGGGGATGCAGGATCGGTCAGCAGATGTAGTAAGCTCGGAAGTCAGGAAGTCAGAAGCAGCCAGAACTCCAAAGCCTGGCCAAGCGAGGCAGAAGCGGCAGTAGGAGTCGTAGCAAGAGCCGGAACCGCAAAGACAAGGACTGACGGAGGGCAATGGTGTTTGGGCCGGTCAAGGTTCAATCTGGTTCAATAGGAGTTATTGAATGACTGAAAATCCATATCCATATTGTATTTCTGGTTTAGCTGGTGGAAGTA